GCCAACTATATTCGATGTTTGCGATATATATCCGGTTTTAACTGCAAGGGTATATAAACTTCGGCTTCGCCCAAAGTTAGCTTTCCTTTCTTGTTTTCAAAGAATTCTAGAATGTAATATTCTGTGAAACTAATACTACATCTTATATAAAATAAAATTAAATACACTTTATGGATATTTTATCTTGCCTAAAAAAATTGTGATTTTTTATGAAATTTTTAACAAATACCTCGAACATTAGGTCATCGATTCGGAAACGGGACACCATTTCAAAATGCATCAAAAGATGGGAAATACTATGAGGCAAATAAATTTTAACTTAAATTTTATCCAAAATCATAACCCCTAGAAAAAAATGTGAAAATTGGTAAAAAATTTTCTTGCCAAGTTTTGATATAAAATTATACTTCTCGAAGTTCTAAAATCGGAAATGTATAACATTTCACGATATCTCAAGTATTAGACGAGTTATTCAAATTTTTCCCCAAGAAAATCACAAAAAGTGAACCCGTATTTTGGTATTTTTTATTTTTCCAAAATCTGAACTTTTGATGCACTTTTTAGCGAAAACTTGTAATGCAGATCGAAGGATATTCATGTCCTGATTGCAAAATGGTATCGCTTTTTGAAATCCGTTTAGAAATGGCCGAGATATGAGCTTGGAAAGATCTGCCTGGGCGCCCAACTCGCAGAGAAACTTTCTTGAAATTCGTATGGAACGAAATCTGAAGTACCAGGCGAACAGAAATCAGCAGAAGGTGGCCGAATTCAAGCAGTGTAAGCAGTTCATGATCATTTTTCTGAGCTAGCCATGTGTGGGAAAGGGAGAAACCCCTCTTTGCTGGTGCTCCACCCCCCCATTCACCCTTATGAAATGGGGATCACAGCAATCATACTCCATAAGGGGGAATAAGATGCTGCTACCCATCATTATTAGAGGGGGAAAGGTAGACAAATTTGGCTGTACAAGTGATGAGAGAGCAGGAGTTATTTCGAACGGCACTTGGCACGCGAGCTCAACACGACTCGCCGTTCCCATACATTGTCGCTCACGACAGCCCCATTTCGTGACACGCGCTGAAAATCAACGTGTGCCACTTTGGTTTTGCCATCATTAGGTGGAAATCACCGTTGTGGATCGCAAATTTGGAGGCTGGGATTGGCCATAATGGACCATAGTATCGTTTTACTACAAAATACGAAAGTTAACCCTTCACTCGTCTTTACCTGTATATATTTAATATTTATTTTAATTAAGCAACAAAACTGCTAATTTAGGATTATAAAATCATCATTCAGTGAAGTAGAACGTATAAAAAATGCAGTAAACATAATAGGGGGACGGTGGGGCAACTATATATTGTCCTAACAATTAAGTCGGACATGAGAAACTTGGATGGGAATGTGAGGTCCATGGGGCCGGTAAAGGGACAATCGTGCAGTTTTTCTGTTGAAGCTAGGGCGAGGGGGGAGGTGAAACTGCTTGCACTGCTTGAATTCGGCCACCTTTTGCTGATTTCTGTTCGCCTGGTACTTCAGATTTGCTCCCATACGAATTTCAAGACATTTTCGCTGCGAGTTGGGCGCCTAGGCGGATCTTTCTAAGCTCATATCTCGGCCATTTCTGAACGGATTTCAAAAAGCGATACCATTTTGCAATCAGGACATTAATATCCTGATTATAGAAATCAAATAAAAAGCTAGCTAAAATTTGTAGCTAAAATTTCGCAAAAATCCTGATGAAAACTCAAAAATCCCCTTTGAAAAATCTCAAAAATCGGGTCCAAATTTTTTTGTTTAATTTTTGGAATCTTGGGATGCAATTCGAAGGATATTAAAGTCCTGATTTTGGAATGGTATTCCGTTTTGGAATCGGTTACGAATTATTTAAAATAGTCGCTAAAAAGGGCATCAAAAGTTCAGATTTTGGATAAATAAAAAATACCAAAACATGGATTCACTTTTTGTGATTTTGGGAAGGAAAATGTTTTAAATTTTTATTTTATGTGGTTCATAAGGATTTTTCATCATATTTTGATGAATTCTGAGCAGAATTAGCTTTCTAGTTTTGCTCTCCCACCCTCAAGGACTTTCACCCGAAGGTCCGTTTGCAACCCCCGACCGAAGTTGCTGGACGTCGAACTTGTTCGACTGCGAGGCGCCTGGCTCGACAAGTTCGAACCGGCCACTGGGCTCTGGTTGCGGGGGTGGCTGGGTGGTGGGCTGCGACGCCACTGCGCTGCCGGCGTCGCGTGTGTGAGGCTCAGTTTGGTTGGGGCAGTGCTAGATATTATCCTGGCATGTGTAGCATGTGTGGCATGTTGGATGCCAATTGAAGTTTCCGCACATGACAATTGGGGCGGCCAGTGGCGTTGGATTGGTCACTGGTCAGCTGCCCGGGTGTTGGGGGGTGACCAATGGCGACTGTTGGGGTCACTCTCTCTCGCTCGCACTTTCTCTGGCTTAAAGTTCCTTCAGTATCCCCCAGTTTCTATTTTCTATTTCTCTAACTTTCATCCGCAAGTGAGCGCCCTCTGGCGGCGAGGAGCCGCCCCTACCAGCCGATTCTTCGTTTTTATCGCGATCGTTGCCTACTTTTAAGCGCTGCTCGATGCTATAAAAATCCCATTGCGCCATTTATGGCAAATAAAAGTCTTGTTTATTTTTGTAACACAGACAACTATCTTTTAATTATTAATTTTTAAATTGTTTTTCAAGTTTTTCCGTTTTGTATTTCATTATTGTTACTTTCAAAAAATTACACACATTTGAAAAATATTTTTGTTTTTTGTTTGTTTTGTTTTGTTTTTTTCGGGCCAAATGAGACAACAACAATTTGCTTGATTTTTTTGTTGTCCTTGTTTTTTTTGTTTTTTAGTATAAAGTTTTTTTTTGTTTTTTTTTTTTATAGCTACAATTAATTTTCTAAGATTTAATGATAGTTTTAGTTTGCTTGCTGGCTATGTTTCGTTTCTTTTCGGTTTCTGTATCGGTTTCGGTTTCCTCTTTCATCCGCTTTATCGCTCATCCGCTGTTTCTGCTGCTTTTGGAATCAGAACACAAAATAGAAGAACAAATAAAGGATATAACCCAATAACGGTTAAATTAAAACTTCCATAAGCTTACGGGCCAGGTTCGAAATCAAATAAAACATAATTGGTGTGGTTTTTTTTTTTAAATTTTCATGGATTTTTGTTTTATTCAGTTTTTGCTTTATATATATGTACTATATATATATAGATATATTTATAGGTATATATAGGGGGGGTGTATAGCTGTGTATACTTGTCTGGATTTCATCTGAAACACAATGCATTCAAAACCTCGATCTTAAATTTATTACATCCCTCGAATTCGATAAATTATGCACGGTAAACTTCGTCTCTGGCTGGAGAATCGCCTGTGCCATTGCAGTTGTCCTTTGCCAGGATAACTGCAATGGCAGGGGGGATTTTTGTTGCATTTTTTTTTGGTGGGTTTTTATATAGGGCTTTGCTTTAAGGAGGTTTAATTTAAGTATGTGTACAAAAAACAAACAGACTTTAAACTAATGCCATATGTAAGATGTATGTGGGTTGTGTTTGCGTTTGAATTTTGCTCACAAAAATGTATTTTTACTAAAAAACAATCAATTAAATATTAATCAAAATTTTGGATCGCAATCTTTTCAATCAAATAACGAAAATCAACAGCAAAAAAACAATTGATAAAAAAATGTACTCGTTCTCGTTCGCGTCCTCGTCCTCGTCCTGATTCATTCTCTTCAGTATCCTTTACTCCCAATGTCCTTTTTCCACTATTTTGTCCACTCTCACCTATGCATTATTCGACTTTCTCCCACTTTCTTCGTCGACGTCTGTCTCTTTCGGTTGCTTCTGTCTTTTTTTTTTTATAGCAAGAAAACAAATGTCGTTCTCAGTTCTTCAGTCTTCTAAATCTAGTTGTTGTTGTTGTTGTTGTTTTGCTTGTTTGTTTGTTGTTGTTGTTTCGGTATTTCAATTTTTTTTTCATTAATTGCTTTCTTAAATATTTTCATTTTCATTTTGTTTTTGTTTTTGTTTTTTTTTTGAAGTTTTACGTACAAATTTGCATCCTGCCGCCATTTTGTTTTTCTTTTCGTCCTTTTTTTCAATTTGCATTTCTTTCTTAATTTTCTCACTTTTTTTCTCGCATTTATTGCGATTCTCTTTTGTTTTTCGTTTGCATTGTCATCTTAGGACTAAGATTGTTTTTTTAAAAAAAAAAAATTTGTGTTTTACATTTATATTTTATTTATGTATGTATGTAAAAAAATTTGATTATTTCATTTGTTTTAAATTACATTTAATAATAGAATTATGCCTATGAAAAAAAATCATATACCATACATGGTGGTGGTATACCGTGTGTGTGAAAATTATAAATAATAGAAGGAATTAAGGAGGCGACATCAAAAACGCGAAGAAATCAATTAAATTCCTCACAAAAACTACCATATAATTAGAGTTAGAATTTTTACAAGTGTTCGTCTTTAGTGCTAGATCTTTACTTTTCTAGATTTCCTACAAAAATGTACATTGATGACAAAAAATATCCACTCACTCTCCCCCACTCGCTCCCCCACACTCACTCGCATTCGATACCATACATATATATATATATACGGACGTATATCCCTAATTACTTTTCGATTTTTTGGATTTTTTGGGGTTATAATTTTTTGTTGTTTTAGTTTATGTTTTTAGATTTTAGTAGTTTTGGTTTTTTTTTTTGTTGTTTTTTTTTACAAATCCTTTTACTTAGTCCTAGCAAATACACTGGAAAATGTGTGTCCTTATACCTAGACGTTTACGTATTTAAATGCTATAAATTACAAGCTCAAAAAAAAAATATATTTTAGGGTTGAGGGGGGTTTTTTGGAAAAAAAAAAATTGTCTTCGGGGATGATGTTTTTTTTTGGGTTTTCTGTTCGATTTTTTTTTTTTTTTGGGAGGGTTTGAAACTTTAAAATTATATTACATAATGTTTATTGCTTTGGTATTAAATGCCTCTGGTCGTTTTTGTCGCCTGGAAGTTTTTTTTTTTTCGTTTTTTTATCTGAGGGATCGGGGGACGTTGTTGTTGTTGTTGTTTTTTTTTTTTGTCTGGATTTAGTCAGAGGATACTTTTTTTTAAAAAGCTTATTTACAATTGTGTCATCTTTAGAAGATGCGCGACATAATGCGACTGCGACTGCCTGGCCCCTGGCCCGGCCCCTGACCCTGACCCTGACCCGGACCCTGCCGTGACCCCTGCTCGGGCTGACCGGGCTGAGGTGGCAGCGACTGGGGATGGTAGTGGTGGTGGTGCTGCTGCTGCATGGGTGGCGCCATAAAAAGTCATGCCTCCTCCTTGAGGGAGATGGGATGGACGCCGGTTAGGCTGGAAGAGGCATTCGAGTCGTTGTCGCCACTCACACTGCCCGGCAGTGAGATGTTGTGTCCACCGACGAAGGCGGGGGCATAGCCGACGACCCCGAGGGGTGACAGTTGCTGGCCCTGGCCCTGTCCCGGCTGGGGTACCTGACCCTGGGCCTGCTGCTGCTGTTGCTGCTGGGCGGCCTGGACGGCTGCCGCCGCCTGGAGTTGCTGGGCGGCCGCCTGGGCCGCCTGGGCAGCTGCCACGGCATTGGCGGCCGCAGCCGCCTTGCCCTGGTTGACGACGCACTTGCGCATATGCTTCTCGAGGGTGGAGGGGACGCTGAAGGGCATGTCGCAGAAGCGGCAGCGGTAGACGTCCTTGCCGGTCCGGCCGTGGGTCTTCATGTGCCGGGTCAGCTTGGAGCTCTGGGCGCAGGCGTAGGAGCAGAGCTCGCACTTGTACGGCTTCTCGCCGGTGTGGCTGCGCCGGTGCACGGTCAGGTTGGAGCAGTTCTTGAACACCTTGCCGCAGAACTCGCACGTGTCGTTGCGCTGCCGGCTCTCCTTCTTCAGCAGAGGCCCTTGGATCAGCGAGTTGGCGCCGCCGAGGCCCAGTGGCTTCAGCTTCAGGTTCTCGAAGAGCGCCTCGTTGCGGTGCAGGGCCTGGGACATGCCCCACCAGTCGCCGCCGTCCATCTTGATGCGCTTGCTCAGCTCGAAGGGGTTCGGGAAGGGGTTGAAGAGGGGCACCTGGGTGGGGGCGCCGCCGTCCTGCGGCTGCTGGAACATGTTGCAGTTCTTGGCGAACTCGTCCCGGAGTCGCAGAGCGGCCACCGGCAGGCCGTTGAGCTTGTCGGCACCCGGCGCACCGCCAGCACCGCTGCCGGGCACACGGTTATTGTTGTCAACGGCGGCGGCTGCTGCGGCGGCGGCTGCGGCAGCGGCCTCCTTGCGTCCGGACTCCTGGAGCGCCTGCTTGTAGGCCTCGCTGTACTGGGCGATGTTGGAGAGGCCGAACTTGTCCATCAGCTCCCCGACGAGCGAGGTGGCTCCGGAACTGGTGGTCTTGGGACTCTGGCTCTTGCCGTCCAGACGGTTGCTCACCGAGAGATCCTCGGCCTTGTAGTCCATGTCCTCGCACTCCTCCATCTCGTCGAGGTCGTCCTCCTCCTCGCCATCAAGATCCCCATCACCGTCGGCATCGTTAAGCTCATCCTCGGAGTCCTCCGGATTGGGATCCTCGTCGTGATCCGCCTCGTTCGTCTCCAGCGAGTCGGCGTTGCTGCCCTCGTCCTGGTTGTCCTCCGCGGGCGGGGAGCGGTGGACGCGCATGTGCTTCATCAGCTTCTGGATGTGGGAGCACTCGAAGTCGCAGGCGGTGCACTTGTAGGGCTTCTCCCCGGTGTGGGTCCTCTGGTGGATGATCAGGTTGTTCTCGAACCGGAACTTCTTGTCGCAGTAGCCGCAGGCGAAGCAGTTGTCCTGCGAGCTGCTGATCTCTCCCGTCTTCGAGGGCGGCGTGCTGGCCGACCGCGGAGTGCTGGCCAGGATTAGGCCCAGGTTGCCGTTCTCCGCCGAGTTCTCGCTGCTCAGCTTCTCGGGCGGGGTCAGCGAGTGGGGTCTTTGGAGGGGAGCCTGCTGCTGACCTTGCTGCTGTCCTCCGAGGTGCTGCTGCTGCTGCTGCTGCTGGGAGGGGGATGGGCTCGCAAAGTGCGGCGATTGTTTCTGTCGAGGACTCGGCGAGCTCGAGTTAACAGTGCTGCCAGCTCCAGGGCTTGTTGTGCCCGCAAGCTGACGCAATCGCTGCGAGTAAAAATCCATCTGCTGCGGTTCCAGTTTCAACGGGTTGTTGGCATTCCCCTGCCCCTGCTGCTGCTGCTGCGACTGCTGCTGCTGTTGCTGCTGCTGGGACTGTTGTTGTTGCTGCTGCTGGGACTGTTGTTGTTGCTGTTGTTGTTGTTGCTGCTGCTGTTGCTGGGCCTGCTGCTGCTGCTGGGAGCTGAGCGACGGTGGGGGCAGGGCTGCCGGTGGGACGGATCCGCGCTGGCTGCCGCTGCTGCTGGAGGATGGTGGTCGGCCATCCTGGCCGTTGAACTGGGCCGCCTGGGCTGCCGCCGCTGCTGCTGCAAGGTTGAAGCCGTGGTGGCGGAACTGCTCGCTGACCAGCTGCTCCATGCGGTAGTGGTCCCCGGGCCGTCCGAACAGTGGGCCGACTGTAGGAACTACGTTTCCGGCCTGGGCCAGGGCCGGCGGCAGCGGCATTCTCAGCAACTGGAAGGGATTCGGGTGCATGGCCTCCGGTGGCGGCAGGAGCGGATGATGCCGCATCCCAGCCGCCATGGCGGTGGCCAGACTCTCACGCTGCTGCTGCTGCACTCGCTGCTGTTGCTGTTGCTGCTGCTGTTGCAACTGCATCTGCTGCTGCTGCTGCTGGTGCTGCTGCTGCTGCGGGGAGCCCAGGCTGGAGTTGCTGCTGTTCACCAGGGAGTTGGAGGAGGAGCAGACCGAGCTGGCGGACAGGTTGGCGGCCAGAGGGCTGCTGCGCTTGCCGGCCGGACTGGGGCTGATCGTCGTCGGGGGCGGAGAGCTGGCGCTGCCGGATGACGCCGAGGAGGCTGCCGCTGCGGCCGCTGCCAGGGCCAGGGCGCTGTTGTTGAGGGCGGCGGGTGTGGCCACGGTGAGGGTGGCGCCCCCGATAACTCCCGGGCTCTCCACGTAGATCTTGACGCCGTGCGAGTGCTGGACGTGCTGGATGAGCCGCCAGGCGGAGGTGTAGCGGGTCTTGCACGTGGAGCAGGTGTAGTTGCTGGGTTCTGGAAGCACAGAGAGAGAATATTGGTTTTAAAGGCTATTATCTCTTGTATGGAACTGGCTATAGTTTCTCCCAGTGCATGTCCTGGTTGCCTGGCAATTTCGTTATTAATTATTAATGAGCCTTTTTGGGGGGGCGTTGGGAGCTGGTGGGTGGGAGTGGCGCCTAGTATTTATTTATTTATTGATTTTGCAGCGGTTGGCATGCCAAAATGGCAGGCAGGACACGCATGAGCCGTCGGACGGAGATTGGCAATATTGCGAAGGATATTGCCCCGCAAACAGGACACACACATATACACACACATATGGCGATGTCCTGGCGTTAGTTTTAGCTGCCCTCGTTGTTGCGGTTTTGTCGCGACATTTGTTAATTTGGCATAGCGGAAATAGAAGCCGAAAAACCGCCACAACACCACCCATCACCCATCACCCACCACTGCCAGGACATGTGTGTCCTTTAAAGTCCTGACGCGTCCTAAACGCCACAGCAACAGATGTAAAATTGGAAAATTTTGATGAAAAATGTGCGCCACACTATCGAAAGATGTTGCCAGCGAGCGTTTTATGTGTGTAATATTCTCAATATTTTCTATTTTTTTTTATTTTATAATAAATAAAATGGAAAAGAGGAGGACCACATGTCGCCAGCGAGGACAACAAGGTGTTAATGCCCGGAAAACTATGGACAGGATATTGAAGGAGGAACTACCCCCGTTTGTGCGCCAGGCGACGTTCACTGAATTTAAATGACGTCTTTAAAGGACGAAATGGAAACTGTTGAAGTCCTGGCACGAGACAGGACAACAGCACGCATTCTCCACACTTTTCCTTTTTTTTTTATGGGCAGCTTCCTCTCTTTTTTTTTTTCTTTTTTTTTTGGTGTCCTTTTAGGAAAGGTGAGGACTCTGTGTTAAACATGATTTCGAATGCGACGACCCTTTGGCAGCAAGGATCAGGGATCAGAGATCGGGGATCGGGGCCCGCATGCCACAGGAAATGCAAATGAATCTGACAGATAATACGGCCAACCCTTTATCATCTTCGCCGGGGGTTGCCGCGATCGTTAATACAAAAAAAAAAAAAGGTAAAAGTTGTCGAAAAACATCAGGCATTATTTGTCTGATCTGATCCTTGAAGGATCGGGCTCGCGATGCGCACGCGTATTTATTATTCAGAAATTCATGAAAAAAATAAAAAGTGAACAAAAGGGCGCGGGCTTGGCACGTTCTGATTTTTTTTTTTTTTGTGAAATTCTAAACTCGATTCTGGAAAGTTTCAGCTGCCAAGCTGCGGGTTTCTGCCTTTCCACTCGCAGAAAATGTAAATTAATAAAATAGTTTAAGGGATTTTGTTTGTTTTTTTCTTTTTTTTTGTTAAAATCCTTTAATAATAATTTATGCCACAAACTAATCGAGCCATGAAATGAAAAGCGAACTCTATTCATCGCTTTCCCTTTTCCGATTTTACTTTTTTTTTTGTTTTTTGTTGAAAGTGCAGAACCGAGTGGAAGAGCGACCGGAAAACGGAAGTTCCCAAAAACAGGAAATGGCAAATTGACCGGCAGGATGTGCAGGAGGGCCAGGACAACAGTGCGTATGAGCTATCCAGGCAGCCAGGCAGCGGGTGGGCTTACGAAAAGGGTTGCCCTGTAATGGGATAATTGTTGCAGCTCTGCCAACTGTCAGGATACCGATGGCAGGACATTTGCATGATGCCCCAGCAGCATCCTTTTCGAAGGGCTAAGCCCTCTGCTGTGTATCCTTTTCCGTTTCTTGCTTGGCTCTATTTTTTTACTTTTTGTGAAACACAAAAGGACACAGGACGCAGGACTCTCTCTCTCTCTACAGCTTCTAATCCCCAACGACGTGAAATTGCATGAGCCGAGGGCATTAGCCATTGATTTCGACCATTCGAGCAAGGATCTGAGCGGGAGGTCATCCTTATACATACATATATATCTATTTTTTTTTGGGTGTCCTTAGTGCTGGCTTAGTGCCAGCATGAGTCAATAATTGAATGGCGAATTTGTGGTGGCCCCTTGCGAGGTGTCCTTTTTAACCCTTAGCCCTTAACCCTTAACCCACTCGACCGTTGATGGTGTTTCATTGTAGCTGCGGTCGCGACATGCTGAGCCACCGAGCCACCGAAAATTGATAATTAACACTCACACTCGCAACAGGATGCGCTGACAGGTGGAGGACGACACCGACAGAATACAAAAAATATAAAAAGGACATGCTTGCATTTGCAACAAATATCCATTTTGTTGACAGTTCGAAAGGCGGGAGGTTGCCATGGTATTTATAATTACCAAATGGACAAAAAGTCAGAGCCGGAAGGACATCAGGACGAAAGGACGGCAGGACGGCAGGAAGGAAGGAGTTAGGTTGGACAGCCAGGACATACAAAACCAAAAAAAAAGAAATGTATCGCAAAAATAAAAAGCCAGCCGAGAGGCGAAAACAATGCGTAATTAACGCACAGCTGTAGTTGTATCTTCGCTTCAGTATTCACTGTATCTGCGTGTATCTGTGCATCTGTGTATCTGCGTATCTTTGTATCTGTAGCTTGTCAGTTGCCATTGTCATTTACGTGGCAACAACTCTTGTCACTGACTCGTGTTGTTCACTTTTTTTTCCTGCCTCAGCCTCATCCTGCCCCCTCGTCGTGTCAAAAGCTCAAAAGTTCAAGGGTTAAATTGCTGTTGTCACTCGTGTATGGATAGAGCGATAGATTGTGTAACACATGAGGTCCAGGTTGTGTTACCTGCTTGACCTTTGACCTGGCCACCTATGTACCTAGTCTCCTAACCCTTCTCCTAGGCGAGAGGCACGTGTCCGAACTGACCCTCCAAATAGCCATCTCTCTCTCTGTGTTGGGAATGTCCTTTGTGCGTGTGTCAAGTCCAGTGCGATATTTCGTCCTTTGTCCACTCAAGTGGCTCCCCCCCTCCGCATGCCTCCTCATCCTTCCATCCTTATCCTTCCTATTCTATTTCCCTGGCATTCCTTGACTGTTTTTGAGGCATTCAAATTACCCTCGAGGGCAGCTTCAGCTACAGCTTCTGCTTTAGTCCGAGAGCTTTGTTGTCCTGCCTGGTTACCCTCTCGGCCTGTGTCCTGTGTTGCCCTCCGCCCCTTCGTCCTTTGGCTGCTTCGTCCGTATTTTTATTGCTGTCTTTGGCTTTTCATCATCATTTGCATTGAAATGTCAAAGTCAAAGGCCAGCTCGTGGAGTTGCGAGGGGAACTTTCGATTGTCACGCTGTCCGAGTGTCCTTTTCGTCCTGCTGCCGTTGCAGTTATCAGCTTCTTTCTTTTTTTTCATTTTTTTTTATTATTTCGAGAGCTGCGCTTTGATGTCCGCATTGCCCGCAGTGTCCGCGCTTTTTCTCGGCCAGCAGACAAAAAAAAGGGAGTTTTGTTTTTTTTTTTGTTTTGGATTTTTGTTTTGTGTGTCCAGGACTCGGGATTCGAAAAATTTTTGTGCAGCTGCAGCTGCAGCTTATCCCGATCAGCTTTCGAATACACACACACACCACACCCACACACCACACCCGCACACACCACATCACCCACACATCAAACACATTTTTCCAATAGCTGGCCGAGGGAATTTTAATATCGCCCTCCCCCATAAATATTTCCGCCAGCTATTCCCTGATCCTCCTCTGGCATAGAGGACATCGAGCAGGACACTCACCTGTGTGGACTGTATTGGCCTCGGCATCGACCAGTTCCATTTTTGGCCGCTTGGCCAGCGACTGTTCCGGCTCCTCCTCATCCACATCGCGTTCGTCCTCATCCTCGTCGCGATTCTGGGGGGCGGTGGTTTCGTCCTCGAACGGCTCCTCCTTGACCTTGGCGGGCTGGTCGGCGTCCTGGTCCCGGTCCAGTTCGCAACTGCTGTCGCGGCTGGAGGACCGGCGTGGCTTTTGGCTGGCCAGTGGACTGCCGGGTGCGGCTGTGTCCTTGTCCAGGGTGGTGGCGGCTGTTTCAATGTCCTTGGGCGTGGTGTTGTCGTTTTCTGCAAAAGGATGCAAGGATTCAAGATTAGTCTTCTGGCTTCTAGATTCATCTTCTGGTCAGGACTTACCATCTACCAGCCGTTTGGGCGTGCTACTGGCTCCGTCCGCCAACAGATCCGCCGGACTGGGTGGTGGTGTGTGTATCCTCGAACCACTGGCCGCCGTGGCCGCTGCTGCCGCCGCCGCCGCTGCTGCTGCTGCTGCGGCAGGACCCGCTGTGGCCGAGGCCGCGGCAACGGCGGAGGATGTGGAGGAGGACGACGAGGAGGAGGAGGACTTGCGTCCCGAAATGGGAGCGGAAATCGAGGGCCGGCGATTGACGAGGCTCAGTGGACGCCCCTCCTCGGCGTCGCGATCCATTTGCGGGTTCTGGGTGGCGCACTGGCCGTAGTTCTCCTTGTTGCACTGCAGGACCTTGTGCTGGATGAACTTGACGATGTCGGAGAGGGCGAACGCCTTCTGGCAGGCGCCACAAGTGAGGATGTCCTGCGTGGCCACGGCATCGTTCTCCGTCGAGTCGGAATCTGCAAGAGGAGCAAAATAGGACATCCTTTTAGCTACTGAGTTCATAAATATTCTTTCGATTTTGGGCTGGCCGGGTGAGCGAGAGGCCATCAATTCTGGCTTAATACGAGGTCCTTGGAATCTCTGGAATTGAATTTCTGTGGCACTGCCACTGCCACTAGTGGTGATGGTGGTGGTGGCTTCTGGTGGCACACTCCCAGATCCTCTTAATTCTGTCACATTTTTATGGGGCGTGCCTAATTCTCAGAGTGTATTAATTGTTTGCAGTGTAGGAAGGGGCCAACCCCGCTGGCATTTACATATGGCGCGATAAGAGTAAGGACTAACCCCACTCCCACTCCCACTCCCAGTCCTCACCCAGTTCTAGCCGAAAAATCTCTGTGCACTTTAATTTACGAGTATTTGCGGAAAGCAACAATAAACGGAGGGAGTGAACCGTAGCACCCCCTCGGAATGGTATGGAATGGATTATTTGCATATATGTTGCGAGGCAGGACCATAAATTCCAGTGGCTGGCAATTAATTTGCGCCTCAATCTATATAGATTCATATGTGTCGAGGTTGTTGCGGCTTATCTGTATCTTTATTTTTTTTTTCTGGTTATGGTTCTGGTTATGGTTCTGGTTATGGTTCTCGCATTTGCAAAAATATCCAGCCCTGAGGGCAGTGGAACTTTTTTGTTGGCGAGGACTTCTTGATTGACCAAGAGAGGTGGTGGTGATGGTGGTGGTCTGGGGCCCCCAGGATATCAACTTCAAATTGGACAAGTTTTTGGGTCAAGAACCCTTTGGGGTTTCCACCTCCCACCACCCTCATAACTTGAAAAAAACACCCAGAAAGAATAAAAACAAAATACAAGATTTATTTCAAAACATATCCTTTAAAAAAAACTTTAATATTTTTATTCTTGTACTCCCTCGCTTAGGTTCTAATTGTGTGACAGACATTATAATCAATTATTCTCGCTGGAAGGACTCGCAGTTGTCAATTAGGAAATAGATCCTTGAATTATTGACTCCCTGTCGCTAGCCACTCTCTCTATTTTTTATGTCCATTCCGGGGGCAGTTTGGCCAATTTGCGGTCCCCGGGTCCAAACAATAACTAATGCGCCCTAAGCAGGGATATCCTCGCACTCCCCACCCAGTTATCCTCTGCCATTGTCCTTCCATCAATTGATTGTCCTGCCGTCTGGGGTGACACATATGTAATTTCTACTGATTGCCTGGGCGGGTCATGGCCAATTTTTGCTTTTTTTTACGCATTTTTTTGTTGTCGCAAAAAAATATGTTTCCATCCTCCGCCCCCTTTCTGGGAGGATGTAGTGATTATTATTGTATTTAGGACTCGTATTTTGACTTTATTTCGAGGATGAATTATTGATCGGGGCAGTCTTCTGGTTGGCTGGTCTATTGATTGGCCAGAAGGGCCCTGCAGGCAGGTAACAACTGGCCTCTTACCTGCCAGGGGCGGGGCATCGAGCGGCGGTACGCCCTCTATTTGCCTAACTGATTACGAGATTAGAGCCTTAGATCCTTACAGTCACTATTTATGAAGGAGTTGGAAACAAACAGACGTATTGACAGGCCAGGATAATATTGCGCCAGCTGAAGGACCTTTAACCTACGAGGGGGGAGAACTGTCAAACACCGCTGACAAGGATAACACTGACAAGTGTCCTTACGCCAAATAGAAAAATCATAAAAGTGCCAGCTTAGAAATCATAAATTGCATTAACCCTTTTTCGGTGACCAAATCGAATACGATTTCGAGGACAACAGCTGGAGTTGGTGGTTATTGGTGTGATTGTATGGTGTGATGATGTCATCCCTTACCCCCCACCCCACCCACTTAGTCTTAGTCCTTGCTTAATTAATTCGAAGGAAAATAAATTGAAGTGCGGCGATTTGTTAAACGCAGAGCTTAACTCAAATATTTACGAGCTGCGACTCTGGCCCGAGGACATCCTGGCCATTTAATGCAATCGCTCCTTCGGGCCATTAATATCCTGCGCCCAAGACCAGGACCCAGCTAGCAAGAGGGGGAAGGAAATCAGGAATTAACATATTAATAGAACTTTTGCGCAAATTAACGGGGGGGCTACATGAGGGAGAAAATATGAAACCAGAACGAGGACGACTTGTATTTTTGTTATTTATAACCTTCTCGTGTTATTGACTATGGGTGTGGGGGGTGGGGGAGGTGGGCGTTTAGTGGGGCGTGGCAAGTCGAAAACAATACGCTGATTGTGCTAATTTATGCCCCCAACCCGCAACACACACACAGACACACACATGTGTGCTCAGAAGACAAGAAGTCGAAGGATTCGGTTTCGGGTTTTATGGCCAAAAGGTTATGGCCCCACTACTATATTGCCCAACAGAGAGAGGCAGTGAGAGGGGGCAGGGGGAGGGAGGTGTCTTTTGCCATAAAAACCAGGCAGGCAGGAAAATACCGACTGTTTTTAGGTGCCTCCTTTTAGCCTTCGTTTTCAGGCAACAGCAGCCACCGAATGAAAAATGGCGTCAACCTAGGAACAGGAACCCACATAGGGGTTAAGGGTTTGACTCCGCCTACCAGCCCAAAGAGGAAAATTAATAAATATCTATATATATTTTTTAATTCTTTTATTTATATTTTTTTTTATAAACTAAATTGTGAATAATTGAAAGCAATCATAGTGACACCAAGTGCTCTACTTCGTGGAGGTTTTCAGAATAAAAAACGACCAGAAAATGCTGAGTAAATATTTAAAGTTAACAACAAAAAAAAAGCGGTATTTTGTTGTTTTGTTGTTTTTTTTGTATTTTGGCCAACTCATTTAAAGTTTTTAAACAACAAAGCCAGAGACAGAGCCCGAGCCAGAGACAGACAAAAAAAAAGGTTAAACAAATTCGAAATTCTTTTTTGTGGCGATAACAGTCAGTGGGGGCGTACTGTTATAGTATAGGTGTACATAGGTGTGTGTGTATCTGTGTGTTGTGTCCAATACAAATACAAATGCAGAAAGCGTACTTGTATATACATATATATTTTTTAACATTTTTTTTTTTTGGCTGACAGTGACAAAGCGACGTCAGCAGCTGAAATCAACTGAAGCCGCTCGGCCCCCGACTTAATTTGTTTAAACAAATTACGTGTGGATAACCAACACACACACACACACACAGAAACACACACACAGATACTGGTTACTAGTGCACTGGCACAGATACAGATACACTTACTGAAAGGTGTTTAGCAGCTGAAACTATAACAAACACACCGATAGGCCGACTCTACCCTGTACCCTCTTTTTTTTTTTTTGGCTTCTGGCCTGGCAATCACAATGATTCCTGTTGTGTGTGGGTGACAAAAAGCCCCCCCCCTCCACCCCTCCTCTAACTAGCTGTTATCAGTAGGGCACTGAGAAAAAAAATTAACTAAGCTACAGAGAGAAAAATTACTAGAAAAGGGCCTTAATTGAGAACTCTCATTAGTCTAGTGGCTAGAGCTCTTGTTGAACTTTAACTCTTTTTTATTTTATTTTTTTTACTTTATTTTTTAATTTAAAAAAATAACCATAATTAGCTTAGACCATCTAGTTTCTCTCTCTGTATTATGGCCGCCTTTGCAAAGTGTTTTAGCATACAAAATTTGGTTTTATTTGCTCACTGTCCCCCAATAGACCCCTACGGGCATTGCATTCTGGGCCGCCTGGTGGTTCTGCAGAGGGCAAAGGAGAGGGGGAGTGGGAGTGGGAGTGGGGGGGGGGGACAGCGGTTAGCCAAAAGCTAGCTGTACTGATAACACCCGCATATGGCGCGGCAAGGTAAGCGACTGGATATCTGGACAAACAAATGAGCAAACAAATGAAACCCAGAGACCAGAGACCAGAGACCAGAGACCGGAGACCTGGAAACACCGGACGGAGACCCGTAGACGGCGGACACACGGACACACGGACACACTGAAACCGAAACTGAGTGAATGAGCCATATGCAAATATGTTCGCGGCCTGGAATCGGGCATTAACATACACACTCCCATACCCATACCTATGTATATAGCTCTTGTAGTCCACGTGCGTGTGCGCCACAAAGCTGGACACACATGCCAGTGGTGTGATAAGCCCCAAAGGAAATGGGCACAAGGCAACAAAAAAAAAAAAAAAAAAACCTTAAATAAATTACAACAAAAACAATAATAGGGGGGAAAAAAAGGAGAGCATTCAACTGCATTGCCCAGGGCCCTTTCTGATAATAATTGCAAGGTAACCTATATGAGTCCCATTGGTCTTTATTCAGATTGGAATAGAGGTATACCCCCTAGCTGGACTAGCTGGACCAGAAAAGAAGAAAGCCATACCGCCTCTATTTGTCCAAAAGAAAGAAGAGTATTTCATTGTTCGGGTATTATACCGATAAGACTTGTGACCTGGCCTGCAACTTTTTTATTTCATTTTTTTGTTTATTTTTTTGAGGTCGTTTTTGGTTGCTAAAATATTTGTTTTTTGTGGTGCAAGGTGCAGAGTGAAGAGGGTGGAGGGGGAGGGGGTACATGTTTTATTTCCCAAAAAAAAAAAGAAAAGTCAACGGACATGTATGTAAATATAGGCTGCGATCCGATCCAAAAGGTAAGTAGGTTGAACTCCCCCACCGACTTGTGGTTTGAGTTGTGGGTGCGGGCATTAACTTTTCTTATCAAGAATATATATATGTATATATATCTACTTTTTTGGATTTTTTTTTGGAGAATTTGTGGTTCTGGGAAACTTACGGCTCAGGGAACGGAATCCATGATCCTCACTGATCGACAGCATTTTGTTGTACATTTTGTTTGGTGTTTCAAAAAAATAGGTATTCATGAATGATGTTTTATTTTTTATTTTTAAAAATAGTTCTTTAGTTATTTTTTTAATTTTTTCTTCCACACATCACAAAGTATGTTTTTCAAAAAAAAAAAATATTTAGTTTTTTTTGGGGTTTCGTGAAAAAAAAAGATTCGTGAAAGGCACTGGAA